AAAACACTGCTTTTTCGAGCATTTTTTAACTTTGAAAATTAAAAAATACGAAAAAAACGTTCTACATCTCATAACAGGCGAATCGATGACAGCACAAAGATGTATTTACGCTTGTTGGTATGGTGAGATATTCAGCTTTCATACGAGTGGTCGATGATGTAATTATCTTACGGGGTTGTCGAGAAATTAATTTCAAATAAAAAAAAGCGTTCTGAAAAGTTGCAGTTCAATTGTGCCACCCTGTATAAGCAATACTTGTTACTTGGCAAGTAACGAGTATTAAATTATTTTACGAAATGTATTTATCTACAAAAGTTTACGAAACCTCCGTCGACTCATTCAATCGTCTTATCTCCCTACTATATGATAATTTTCATTATTTTTTTTATTTAAGACTGTGTAGTTAGCTAATATATATAGTACGTCTCCCGTTAATATGATTTTTGTTATGTATCATGGATGTTTATGCGTTTCAGGCAAGGTTTTTTTTGGAGATAAGGTGTTAATTTGATCGCTTGGACTCGGACATTTTCCATTATAAATAGATAGTACAATCTACTGCGACACACTCAATAGTTGATAATAATAAAATTAACACATTATTCACAATTCATAGAACATGCAAAACCGTTACGGATCAAGATTAATCGAATTAATGCACGATTCTTATTGACTTGTTGCATCATAAAGCTGTCTCTTCAATAGCGATTTATTTACATTTGACAATTGAAAGATGTAAATGTCAAATAAATAAAGCTGAATTAGAAATTTCCATCTAGAAGTTTGTAATCGTTTGAGATTTGATGTAAATCTTGCTTAATCTATGTAGTCCTTGTCGGGAATGACCCCCGCCGATACACGGAGATTTCCAAATTGTCTCAATCGCTCTCCAAATTGAAATTATATAAAAAAAAAACAAAATCGTTCTACGCCTATTGAGATGACAGGAACATTCGTCAAATATTCAAAGAAGTCAACGAGCCTCGTCGTTCCTATTAAATTGAGTCCACTGTAAAGGAAATTGCAATCTACGTGACTCTCTTCAGCTACTCTTGAATTCGCCAACCGCACGAACAAATTGTGTGCGTTCCCATACGAATCCCATAGAAAAGTACACCCAAAAAAATAAATGTTAATCCGATAAGATGTCGTCTTCTTACGTCTTCAATTTTTCTATGCTTCATTCGAGATTGTTCCACGAAAACCTAATGTGTCTGATTCAAACGTTGGCGCTCCTCTAAATTGGACCAATGATGGAGAGGGCGCGCCTCTATATAAACGCACTTTCGTCCTTCAAACGACACTTTGCAGTGAACTGTGGCAGTGAGCAGACACGATCGATTTGTAATCGTATACAAAGTATTGTTACTATCTAGTAAGCATATTTACCTTTTCATTATTTATTCGAATACATTTATTAGATATAAATAGAGATAAAAACAAAAAGAGTTTAATTGTCAATCCGCTTTCTGCAACTGTTTTCTCAGCAATTGCATCGTGAATAGTGGAATTCGACAGAAAAAAAAATTCCATCGATTCCGTTATCGGTTACATATATGTTTCGTTGCGTAAATCAGGATCTACTGATTACACACACGTCCTATTGAAATAAGAGTAACACGTAACCACCAGATCTTGTGTTGCAACAAATTTGATTGTTACGACTTTATCGTTCGACGACTTCGAAAATGCCGGCTCGTCCTCTGGCTGACCTTCACAATGGGAATGCAATTTCGTACGTGGAGATATGCATATATTTTGTGATCTCTCTGTGTTTTTGCATTGTCTCTTGATGAGATCCTGCAAACCAACCCCGTTGCAGAACTGGTTTTAACCGTTGGTTAAATACGTAACAACCTTCGCATTCAAACTTTACTGTTACAACTTTTGCATAACTTAATTGGCACTGATTGTAATTACTTGACTGATTGGGTTACTTAACGCGTTGTGGGTGGACCCTGCTGCATTTATCTTTTGAGCTCCGCCCTTTTTAATTGATTGGATTTTCAATTTTTTTTTTGTTGCAGAACATGTCTAAGATTGGAATCAACGGATTTGGCCGCATCGGTCGTTTGGTGCTTCGCGCCTCCATCGAACGTGGAGCGTCCGTGGTGGCCATCAACGACCCCTTCATCAGCGTCGATTACATGGTCTACTTGTTCAAGTACGACTCCACCCATGGCCGCTTCAAGGGCACCATCGACTGCAAGGAGGGCAAGCTCATCGTCAACGGCAATGAGATCTCCGTCTTCCAGGAGCGCGACCCGACCTGCATCCCATGGTCCAAGGCCGGAGCCGAGTACATCGTCGAATCCACCGGCGTCTTCACCACCATCGATAAGGCATCCGCCCATTTGAAGGGAGGCGCCAAGAAGGTCATCATCTCCGCCCCATCCGCCGATGCTCCCATGTACGTCTGCGGCGTCAACTTGGACTCTTACGATCCAAGCCACAAGGTCATCTCCAACGCCTCCTGCACCACCAACTGCTTGGCTCCACTCGCCAAAGTCATCCACGACAACTTCGAGATTGTCGAAGGTCTGATGACCACCGTGCACGCCACCACCGCCACCCAGAAGACCGTTGACGGACCATCTGGAAAGCTGTGGCGCGATGGCCGTGGTGCCGCTCAGAACATCATCCCCGCCTCGACCGGAGCCGCCAAGGCCGTCGGCAAAGTCATCCCAGCCCTCAACGGCAAACTGACCGGCATGGCTTTCCGCGTCCCAGTTGCGAACGTCTCCGTCGTCGATCTGACCGTCCGTCTGGGCAAAGCGGCCAAATACGATGACATCAAGGCCAAGATCAAGGAGGCCGCCGAGGGCCCCATGAAGGGAATTTTGGGATACACCGACGAGGAGGTCGTCTCCACCGACTTCATCGGAGACACCCACTCCTCCATCTTCGACGCCGCCGCCGGCATCCAGCTGAACGACAACTTCGTCAAGCTCATCTCTTGGTACGACAACGAGTTCGGTTACTCCAGCAGAGTCATCGACCTCATCAAATACATCCAAACCAAGGATAACTAAAGGGACAGAAAAATAATCTGCTCGCGCACACACTAAAATCGGGGAAGATATTATTTTTTATTTTTCGTAAATTTCGTACCTAGTCTAATGTAAACTTCCCTACTCCCACATACTAATCTTGTTTATGAACATAAACCCAAAGCAAATTTTCTACATTTAAACAAATACATAACATTTTGAAAAAAAATTAACACTACTTATTTTTTTTCTTCCTACCAGTTACGTTGGTCATATCTTCCGGAGCACTGGTATCTCCACCCTCCGGCACAGCAACCACCTCCTCCTTCTTGTCCTCCGAAGCCAGCTCCTTCTTCCTCATGGCGATACGCAGCATCCTCCTGTGTCGTGCTTCGCGAGCTCTGGTCCTGCGGGCCTCCGCCTGGTCAGCAAGCAACTTGGTCCTAGCCATGTTCGCCTTCTTCTTGAAAATGTACTCGATCAAGACGCGCTTGTTCTTGAAATGATTTCCCTTCACTTTCATATAGAGCTGGCTGTGGAAATGCTTGTCAATTTTCTTGGCCTGTCTGTACTTTCGCAGCAGGCGTCGCAGAATTTGCGTGCGAACCGTCCATGTCCTCTTCGTATTGGTCCTCGCGTTTGCGGTCCCTTTGCGCTTACCGAAGCCGCTGTGTCTTCCCAATTGTCGGGCCCTTTTGGTCTTTCGGACTCTGTACTTGGAGTGCATCGCGTTAGGCTTCATTATGATGTACCCATCGTTCAGCAATCTCCGCACCCCCAGACGAGTATTAGCCTCGGCAATAGCAAAGCACTCGTTCGGATCCATCCATATCTTGCGCTTACCGCAACCCTTAATGGAAGCCGCCAATCTCTTCTGCAGTCGCAAATTACTCATAACTCTCTTCAAAATAATACTCGCTTAACAACTGTTAGCAACAAAATCAACAACTATCAGCTTTTGTTTTTTTTTGTAATCCAATACCCCTTATTAAAACAAAATTTAATATCCCTGTTCGAATGTATCAACAATGAATACTCATATTACAAAACTTATTATAACACCCCATTAACTTTGTATAATTTCCTATTAAAAAAAATATTGTTTCTGCACTTGAGTTCATTGAAAAATTCAAATTTTCGAGCTATCGAAATAAATTTAAACTAAACTTAAGTAAAATTGCGTTGGTAGCACCGATTCTTCGATGCATAGCGCTCCCGTTTCAAAATTTGACATTATACTGCTGATGGTTACTTTATAACCTATCATTTTAAGCGTGTTTTTATTTTGTCCGGTGTCTGCTGTGTTTTCTATTAAAAATACTGCCGCAATGGACAGCGACGTCAGTAAAGACTCGTACAATTCAGACTCTGATATTGACGAGAAAACCCACTCCAAACTATTAGAGAATGTCCTGAATCTGAGCAAGAAGAAGCTGGTGAAGAAGCCAACGCGGACGGAAGCGACGAGCACTGTTTCCGAGTTCGATTTGGTGAAGAGCAGCGGAAATGTGCGCCTACTTGAGCTCGCAAAAGGTCTGGGCAAGTCCAAAGGCGAAGCTAAACTTGCGAAGAGGTTGTTCAAAAGCACAGCCGAGACCATCCGGAAGCCAGCTGAGAAAATTGAGGCTGACAGATCGCACAGGAGGGTAGCCTACAAATCAACTCAGCAAGCACTGGACAAATGGGATCCCATTGTTACATCGATGAGGGCCGCTCCTACTCTCTCATTTCCTTTGATTGATCAAAACTTGGAGAAGGATGAAAGCAAATTGGAATGCTGGAGATTGAAATCAGAATTGCAGCAGAAACTAGAAGAAGTTGATCCAAAAATAGAAGAAATTCATGTTGAGACTAACAGTTTTCCATTGACGTTGCAAGAGATGTTGGAGAAGAGACAGGAGGCAGCCAAGATGAGGGTGAAGATGGGTTATGAATTGGCGAAGGCTAAAAGGTTGAAGAAGATTAAAAGTAAGACTTATCACAGAATACAAAAGAGAGATAAAATCAAGCAGCAGCTGAAGGAGTTTGAGTTGTTGCAAAAGACTGATTCGGAAGCAGCTTTGGCCAAGTTGGAAGAAATTGAAAAAGTTAGGGCTTTGGAGAGAGTGTCTTTGAGGCACAAGAATACAGGAGCTTGGGCTAAGAATAAACAGATTAGGGCTAAATATAATACTGATGTAAGTAAATATCTTTATAAGAAATAATTATGATTATTAACATTGTTTATTTATTTTCAGATAAGGAAAGTTTTGGCAAATCAGCTGAGTCTGAGTAAGGAGTTGACCCAAAAAATTAAACCGAAGTATGATTCTGATGATGAAGAAGCGCCCACACAACAGACTCAAGTCAATCAAATTAATAAGGACCCGTCAAATCCATGGACCAACAGTAATTTAAATATTAGCAAGGAAGTTCATGATTTTGTGTCTGGTTATAGGAAGTATTGGGAGGAGAAAAATAAGATGGAAAAAGGTGAAGAGGAAAATAGTAAAATAAAGAGGATAACTGATTGCAGCACTCCAATGGTAGTCGAAAGTGTTCCTGAAAACGTGGAGACACTTAAAGAAACACCAAGTATGGAATGCGAGCTGCATGATTTTGTTAAGGATGAACGATTGGGAAGCGGTGATAAAGTTGCCAATAAACCGTCGAAGAGTCAGAAAATAACTGAGTGGAAAGTTGAGAAAGTTCAGGTAAACAAGCGGAAGGAAACCAAGAAGATTGAAAATAAAGATTTTAAAGTAGCAGACGTTCGCCTGGATCAAAAACTGGCGATGCACGATCAGAAATTGCAAAATTTGTTTAGGGAGAAGATGGCAAAAATTATGAAAAGTTGGAACTTCAAGGTTGCCGAAAGTGAAGAGAAGGAAGTCGTTAGGCCGTCTGGTAATATGAATCTTAGGCCGGTCGTAACGAAGCCCGATCTGGATGAGGAGCTTCTTGAGACTGCAGGAAACGACAGCGATGATGACGACAATGAAAATAGCGATCCGCTGAAGAACGTTAACGTGTTGAAAACACTGCAAACGGCGGAAGAGGCGCGCGAAGAAATTGATCCGAAAAAGTTCATCGCTCCACCTAAAACTGTCTACTTGACCGCCGACGTACCCAATTTGGTGACGTTCAACGAGGAGCAGGCATTGGAGGAGAACGATAATCAGGTATTCGCTGAGGCCTTCGAGGATGACGATGTGACGAACGAATTTGCCAAGGAGAAGGCGGAGGAAATTGAAAAGTTCAATCCGAAGGCTGTCGATCTCACGCTGCCCGGCTGGGGTTCGTGGGGCGGCAAGAATCTCGAGGTGCCGAAGAAGAAACGCGATAAGTTCACCATGAAGGTTCCCGAGAAGCTGAAACGAAGGGACGACAACATCGGTCATCTGATTATCAACGAGACGCCCAACCTCAAGTTGAGGCAGCATCTTGTCACCGAGGTGCCGAAACCTTTCAAGTCCGTCAAAGATTTCGAATCGAGTATCAGGCAACCACTCAGCAACTCTTTCGTCCCGGAAACCGTCTTCAGGAAGCTCAGCGCACCGAAGGTTACCACCAAGATGGGAACCATCATCAAGCCCATGGATGAAGACGTTCTTCTGCTGAAAGAGAAAAGGGCCAAGATATTCGAACGGAGTTTTCCAGCGAAGGACACGCGAAAAGTACACAAACGCAGGAAGTCTAAAATCTAATCAGACAAAACGTATTTAAATAAAACACGTTATTATTTTTTGTTATGTGCTATGAGCTTGTTTATGAGGGTCGACCAAAACTTATTAATATTTTCACTTAAATAATAAAAGAATTTTAAATAAATTATTTATATTTTAAGTATAATAAAAATCATTCAAGAACGTATATTCGTATACTTTTCAAATTTATGCTTTCAGCCATGTTAGTGTGTTGTTTACATTTAGTGACTGAGTGATAGTGAGCAAGTAAGTAACAGTTTTTCATTATTATTTATATAAATATGTATGTACAATTAATGCACGTTTTATATTAGGATGGTTAATACTTGTTGCGTTGAAGGATGTTTTACAAAGCAAGAAGACAAAATAGTGTTGAGATTATTTCCACCTATTGATTCTTTGTTATTTGAGCAGTGGAAAGTTGCTACAAGTAACAATTCACTGAAAGATATGGACAATCAGTATATAAGTAAAAATAAGAAAGTATGTAATCTTCATTTTCCTGAAAAGTGCAGAAAGAGACCGAAGTTCTTAAAGTACGATTATCTAATGATGACAGAAAATCTTATGAATGATGCAGTTGTTGACTAAATTAATATTGTTGATGATAGTGATACAAGTATTGGCAATTCAGATCACTTGGGTTGTACAACAGTACAAGTTAAGAGTGAAGAAATTAGTATTGATGCTGATAGTACCAGAACTATTAACAACAATCTTATTAATTTGAATCAATTGAGTTGTAAAACAAAACAAGTTGAGACTGAAATGGGTATTGTTTCTGAATTAAATTTTGACATAGAAGATGTTGGAAAGAAAGTGTCTGTTATTAAGAATGGTAATATAAAAAAAAATCAAAGCATAAGCAGAAGACAAATGCAAAAACGCATATCCAATTTGGAAAAATAAAATAAAATATTTGAAGATAGATCAGTTACTCTCATTTTTGGATGGTTTGTGGATTTGAGGATGATAGGACATGTGGAATAGCAGATCATGCTCAGGTGTTTATGGTGAGGAGTATTTACAAGAAGTGGAAATTTCCTGTAAGTTATATTTCTACTCAAGGTACAACAAAATCCTGCACAAGAGTACAATTCCTGAGGAAGGAATTTGTTCACAACATTGGAGAGATGAAACAAGAGGAAACATAGGCATTTAGGAGAAAGGAGTTTGTTCAGAAAAGCTGGAGAAGCCTATATATATATAAGACAATTTGTTAAAAATAATAAATATATTTCGTAAATTTAAAAATCATTTATTTCATAAATTCAAAATTAAAACTAGCGATTAAATCGTTTAACGGCAACTTTAAAGGCCTGTTAAATCGTTTGCGCCCAACTTCACGTCCGTTACCATGGTGATCACTTGTTTGAAAATATTCGCCACTGTCAAATTCACGTCAAACTTTAATGTTGTTTATCCAAAGTGAGTTTAAGAGTAACAACCGCCAGAATTTCACTGCATTAACGCCAAATCTTTGTTGCAGTTTACGATGGAGGGCCAAGCTGATGAAACGAACGAGATCGAGTCTCAGGTCGAGCTGCCGGAGGAGCCTCAACTGCCAGAGGAGCCTCAGCTGCCGGAGAAGTCTCGTAGCCACGAGTCCATTGTACCGCAGAGTGCATACGTTATCAAACCGAGTCTACCTGAAAAGTAAGATTATAAGATCTGTCACACGATGTGCTTAAGTCGAGAATGTTTCAGGTTTAAGCAACTGCCAATCAAAGAAATCATCATGCAGGTGCTACTGAAGACCCTGGTCGGGAAGACCTATGATAGTGTTGAGGCCAAAAAGTGGACCACATCTATAGCTAATAATGTCAGTGAAGATATCAAAGGTGATATTGGAAAGTTTCTGAAACCAGTAGCAAATAATACTTTTGTTGTTCTATTGTAGAATTGCATATGAAAAGGTATAAGCATGTGGTGCAGGTGACGATTGGAGAGATGAAAGGGGCCGGAGTGAAGTCAGGTCTGAGATGTCTCTGGGACTCCGAGACTGATGGTTACACCAGTGAGATTTACATGAATGTATGTATGCCTTTATATCTCAATCAATTTATGGTACAAATGTACACATTTTCCTTATGCTTTCAGGACTCCATCTTTGCTGTGGTTGTAGTTTTTGCTATTTATTTGTATTAGTTTTCTTTTATGTAATATATTTTTAAGAAGTATTCATTGTTTTTGTGACTTAAGTCATATCTTTGTTTAGTTCAAATTTGGTTAACAATTGAATATTTTCTAATGAAAATATGCACGAATTCAAATTGGTAATTCAAGTTCATTGTGAGTTTAAACCTGAAATTGAAAAATATTTTTGATCATATTTGTCAGATAATAAAAATGAAAGATTTTGTTAACAATTCAAATTAAAGAATGTTCTTTTGTAAGGCTGACTTTAATAACGAATCTTCTTATTATGTAAGCGATTAAGTTTTGAATTTTAAATGATCGACGTTGGCTGTGGTGGGAGAAGAGTATTATTGACAGATGAAAATGGATGGTTTGGATTCGGCAGCTGACTTCAGGCCAGTCGCGTTCAGAAGTTGGAGGAGTGCGTGCGTGTGTTGTTCGCGGTTGCATTGCGGTGTGCGCGCATTGGTGTGTTATCGAAGAAGAAAAAAAAAATGTCCCTGTCAGCTGTTCGCGAAGCGGTGTTTTAAAAAAGAAGCGAAACGTGTGCAGTTTCGCGCGATGTGAGGAGTTGCAGAAAGCAGCAGCCCTTTGAAAAGTAGTAGAAGAAGAAGCTGACGTGTTGTTTGGGTGGTCGACCAGAGAGAAGAAAAAAAAAAACAACAGAAGAGCGAGCGAGAGTGAACAAATAAATAAACTGTCCCGAACACACACACATAATGTCCAGTAGCAGCAATAGCAACAACACGGTGCGCATAAAGACGATCTGTGCCCCGTTCCTGAAGGACAACTACCAGAGGATCTCCGTCCTCTTCTCCGCTCTTCTGAACGAGACGAAATGCGGCGACGGATTCTCCATCTTCGAGGTGCAGTGCACGACCCCGCTGGCCCCTGACCGCAGCTACAGCTCGGACTTTATCAGCAGACTCCAGGTGAGCAACAGAAACAAAATCCCCCCACAGCCGTCACCTGTGCTGCAGCAGCAGCAATTCGACCTCTTCAGAATGAGGACAACAGGTTCACTTTTACTCTTTCCCTCCGTGGTACATCCTGCAGCCGAGGCCGAATCATCATCATCAAACATAAAACAATTGTTGTCATTCGACGAAAAAAAAAACAAAAAGAAAGAAGAATAAAAGAAAACAAACAAAGCAGAGCTTCCGTCGTTACCAACGGTTGCCCAACAAATTCCCATGTATAACTTTCTCCCTTCAACCCAGAGAAACCGCATCTGCACGTGCAATACACACACACAAGGTAGCGCAACGTCTCTTTAATTGCGTTACGGCATTTTCTCTTTTGCCAACTTTGAAATTGAATTATAACGATCAATCGCGACAATTACGTAACGCGACGCCCGGCAATTATGCATTAGAACACTTTGCCGGAGGCCTCGCAAGAAAAAACTATCTGTATCGATGATTTAATTGAATGGCAATTTGAGCTTTTTTTTTTCTTAATTTTAATCTTAAACATTTTCTTAAAATCAGGTGTCTTTCAACTGATATGCGAGTCTTGTTTTGTTTTTATTAGAATCACGAGGTTCTTGAGGTTGTGAAAGTGTTTTACGTGAAAGCGTAATATTGTCGTAGAGTCTAGACTTATTACTGCAGCGAATCGATCTTATTTCTACATTAATTTTACGAATATTCTAATTGGACAAAAAGAAAATTCTTAGTCAGCAACAAAGCTTAATAATAAAACAAACATTTGTAGATAATAATACAATAAAGCGAATAAAATCAGCGACACGGCAAATCGATGATTGAGAATGAAATTAACGATTCTTTTCAATGAATCATAGTTAATATCGCATAAGCTGCAAACGTTCTATTAAAGAAATAATATACACATAAATCGAGTCATAAATACTTGATGATACTTTTCAATCCAATTAGAGTTACAGTTATTAACCTCGTGTAGTTTCATTTGCAAATTATGTAAAAATCTCAACTAAAACATATTTCCAATTAGACTTATTACAATTATTCTAATAAGATTCAATGAAAATTACACAAAAATGTTCCTATCGCTTCGACTTGATACTTTCAAATTCAATTAGACTCAAACGCTATGCAATTAATATATAATTTTGGAAATCTATGCAAGGTCAAACGCTTAATGGCGATTATTTAATGGGTAGATGTAATTGGTGGAAAGTCCACATTTTAATTTCTCTACATGATAATTAAGCTTTGCGCGCAATCGGGGAATCTCCGGAAGACGGTTTTGAGAATTCCTAACTGTCGGTAGTTCAAATCGATGGTTTTTCTTTGAATAATTCACATGCAGAAGCTTCGTGCCTCTCCTGCGGTTTTACCTGAGAAACTTGCAGTTTTCAAAATCTTTACTTGTACGGACGTATTACCTTGATTTAGGAATGTCTACGTAACTTGTTGTTAGTAAATTGATAAGTTTTATATGATTTACACGCCGCGAAACGTATGTTAATAATCGCTAATAGATGTAAACACTGCAAGAAGTTTGTATCCTTTAATTGACTTTGATTTAGTAGTTTTTGCGTTGCTTGAGTGCATCATTAAAGTTGCTTAATAAGCAACATTAATATAAATAAAAACTCGTGAAGATTTGTTGTGTAATTTAGATACGATTGATATTTTAAACGTTTGATTTAGAGCTTAGTGTATCTGAATCTAAAAATAAAAGTATAGTATAATCTGTTTCGGGTCAAATCGAGTGCATTGAGATTAAGTTTTATAGTTTGTCTAAGCTCATTGTTTTAAACTTGTCAAGTTACTCGTCTTTATATTTGCACAAGTATAAATCATAGTTAAATACTTTGTTAGAGAACTGTATGAATACTAACAAATCAACAAAAACAATGTTTAAGCTAAAGAACTGTTGGTGTGGTCAGTGCTTTCTATTGTTTCAAATAAAAAAAAAATGTTGGTAATGAATCGGTATATTTATAAACGAATTGCTAAATGTCGTTTTTTTGTTGTTTGGATTGTAGGAAAAAGTGTCGCCTATTTATAGAGAGTCGAAGATCCGTGTCTGCGTTATCTATTAGCGAGCGTCTTAGACATCTATCGTGCGTCTCCTCCTTACGCAACGCAACGCAAAGAAGTATCGAAGCAACCGAAGAATTTAATAGAAGAACGCGACGCGAACAAACGAATACCAACAAAAAAAAATAATAGCTTATTATCGGTGAAAGGTGCGGCACCAAAAAAATAAAACGGTTCGAAGGTTATTTAAATTCGCTGCCTGTGTGTTTGTTTCTGTACGTATTTGTACACCGAAAAGTAGTAATAATAATAATGATGAGAAATGCGGCGCATCCTGGTTCGGAGCGCTCGTTGTTTCCCCTCCTTCTCCTCTTCTGGTTTTCGCTCGGTTTGCGTCATGCAAAGAGAAGTGCACATCATCGACACGGCACACACGATTCGCAACAACACACCACGCTCTAGACTAGACATACACTGTGCAAAAGCACAAAACGCTGAAGAGCCCTATTATCGGCGATGCTCCGCTTCCACAATGTTACGTGTTTGCATCCTAAAAATAAGGCAGTGCAGGTGCTATTGTTGTAGTATGATCGTCGTCGATGTCTTTCAATTAGTTTGCGGCTATTGTCGTGAACCGTCATTGACGTCAAACTCGAAATGAGTCAATTTGATTTATGCATTCGATTGATTTATTGGAATTTGCAGAGTAGCCTAAAAAAATAACCGAAAATTTAATTTGCTTTGAAAAGCATTGGTTGTATCAATTATAAAAATATTTCTAATTCTAATAACGTTGACAATATTCCAGTTACTTTATTTAAAAAATAAAAACCTAATAAAATGGAACCTCGCTTAACGAACGACGTTTCGCATAGCGAGTGACGATGAGAAGAGAAGTCCTGTTACATCATTTTTAAAACTTGTGTAATACACTATACGAGTAAAAATCCGGAAATTTTATAACGGATTAAACTCGTTAAGCGAGGTTGCACTGTATTAAACTGATATATTAATTAATTAATTTGATATTAGTTTAAATACTGTCAAATTTGTTTCGTTGGAACTCAGTAAACAAGACAAATTAAACATATGAGAAACTATGGTAATCAAATTAAAAGAACAAAACCGAAATCTGTAATAATTTTCATATTACTTTTCATTAATAGTTGAAAACAATTGTAAATATGTATTTTAAATATGTATGAAACTACACTTCAGTTGATTTGTTTTCGTCTAGAATTGAGTAAACAAACTGCGTAACTAATAGACACGAAACGTAAAGACGAAAGACAAACAAAAATTCCCGGATGATTCATGGAAGAATTTCGATTCGCTTCTTCTTGCGGGTCAAATCTATGATCTACGCCGAACTAATTAATCCGAGTGCGTCACAATCACGTCGTCGGTCGATCATTGGTGCAAAATGAAAGAAAAAAAAACGTAATCGAGCTAACGTATAACAACAACAACAATAATATTATTATTAAACAACAGCAAGAGTTAGTGATTGAAGTAACGGTTAGATTAGTTTCTTCGGTTATGATAATTTTCAAAAAGAACAGTTGATTTGAGCACGCGGAAAAGTTCTATCTTTTATCACGAATATAGAATATATAGAAGCAAAACCGGACTTGAAAATGAAAAAGATGAATTAATTTCGCTCCAGAGGCGTCACTTTCTTTTCTCTTCACTTTCCTTTCGTTCGAATTTGGCGATTCGCAGATGTCATTTCTATTGGTTTCTCGTCAAAAGCAAAGCCGCCTTCGATCGATGCTTTCCAATTGATGAATTATCCATTCGCGGATCGCGCATCCTTAATTGGTGGTGATCGATTCGATGATGTCGTCTTTCGTCGGTTTTGTTTTCAAGTTAGTTGGCGTCGCCCACCGCTAAATCCGTCTTAAGGTTAAAGACCACCGCTCCAGTTCTGCAGGTGGAATGTCATCGAAACGAACGACGAAGGTGTTCTCGGAACGGCGGATCCATTTTTAAACGAGATTGAGAGAGAGAAAAAGAGCATCAAGGTGGACGCGCGAAACCTTCCATTATTCATATATATATATACATCAGATGCGCGCGTTTTGCGCTCATTGATTGTTTCGCAATTTGCTGCGGCTCCTCTTCCAGTTTTTTGGTGGAATCATTATGCAATGCACGGTGCTCGGTGGGTGGAGGATATCTATCTATCTATCCACTGTGTCACCGGTGACGTAACTGGGACTGATGTCTGTGTGCGTATGCATGTGGCGGTGGTGGCTGGCGCAGAGGAGAGTCGGCGGAGTAGATCCGGGTCGGGATCCGGTCGGTGACCTATCATTTGACCTACTGCGTTCAGCTCTCTGTATGCGTGTGTGTATATATATGTAGACAATCACACTGACACATCGGTCTCAACTAAAAGTGTCACCGTCAAGTGACGACGGCCGCCCCCGCTGATCCGCATTCGATGCACCACATGCACGCAACGCTGTTTCTTCTTTATTCGCAGTCAGTCTTCCTGTTTCCCCACTCGTCGCTGATTAATCTGAAAGAGAGAGAGAAAGAGAAGAAGGAGCGAATCCTGAAGCTAAAATTAGACCCAAATTACACAAATAATTGACGTTCGCCATAGCTCGTGTGTATTGATAACGACGACGGGAAGTGCTATTTTGCAATTTATCAAAATCCAATGTTTCCATGGAAATGTAAACTTCCGTTTCGATCGCCTCTGATGACAGCCAATGACGTCCCAAGTTACTTGACAAGCAACCCTTATCGTATACAAAACATTCCATGTCACCATGACTACCATAAACAATTTAAAACAACCTAACTTAAATTAAACCGAGATTATACCGCTTTTTGTATTACTAATCTCCATGACAACCATAGATAATGTTGCAATTTTACTACAATTACAAAATTCTTCGATAATTTAGAAATGTTGTCTTTAGATGAGTAAATCCAAATGCAATGTTTAAGCAAATTGAAATCAATTCCTACTATGCTTAGACAATGCATATTGTTTTAGAAAGATATCGATATCTTAATGACTAATTCATTTTCAGAACTTATTTCTTTTGTAAATGCTAGATTTTCTAGATTTTTTTCCATTAATATTGGACAAACATTTCAAGATTTCAACGTTTTTAATATTAGCTACACTTTCAATACACCATATATTGATCGTACGAGTTTTAATACTTGACTCGGCTTTACAGCTGAAATGACGAATTCAAAAGACGGCGTATCTGCTGGTTGCATTGTTGTTCTCTTCGATTTGAAGAGTTGAAATGAATCAACATCTCGTTCTCTCATGTTTTTTTTTTTCTTTCTTCTTCATTCTTTTGATTGATGGGATCGCTTCAAAACGCTGGAAACTTTCCAACCGCAACGTTATGAATAAAGGCCCCACTTTGATCCTCCTATTCCTCCTCCTCGTGATTACTAATTTTAGATTTGAATATTCAGCCGCGGAATGCGAACAAGAAAATCAATAGCGGAGAGATTTACAAAACTCCCCATATACCTGCGTTTTGCCCTGATTTTTAATTGAAAAAAAAAAACAAACAAACGAGGAAAATATAATTTGTAGTCCCAGTTCGTGCATGGAAACATTTTTATGTAGATTTAAAGTTTCAGTATAAGCTGATTTAGTGCCCTCATTTAGTTTACATCAATAATATTTATTGTTACATGCCTTAAATAGAAACAGATTGTATTGTATGATTCTTAGTACAAATCTTTGTTATATAAAAAAAGGTTGAAAATCACTGCCTTAGACTTTGCTTATCGCATTGCTTGATACGTGCAAAGGAAAATATGTAGTATATCTTCTTTTGTAAAAGCTATATTTACTATTATGATAACGTGCATAGATATGATATATAGTTTTATCTATTATTCATATCATTTAAAGGCATAAATATTTTCTATTATCTAATTTAACTTTGTATTATTATTCTAACTTATGACTTTATAATAAAATTGTTAGTTAAGTTCCAAAATGTTATATAAAAATGTGAAAATTAAGTAAAAAGACAGACAAACTTGTACTAATCACTTTACACCTTTCAATATTCATCTGACAGTTTTAGCATTATCTGTCATTGTCAATTTTGAAGTAAGTTTGATGGTTCTGTCATAGATGAACACAATTTGCATACTTGACACAACGGCGATGTTTCATGTTTTCGAAATCGAACTACCGTAGTTTCTTCCGTATAACCGGCAATACGAAATATGAAACGCGAAATCATTCCAAGTTGTACCAATGTTCACTTGTTATCACAATAGCAAACATTGACGTTTGAAAAAAAAATGGTGCAGATGGAAGAATAATTTATATATATATATATAATGATAAAATATTATTAGTTTCTTTATGGAAAATCCCACATTTGTTCACATAATACATATACTAGAATCAAGATTCTAGATAATAGACATACGTATTTTAGAATCCTGGAAAATAGAAAGTTTTCAGATTCAATAAATGAACAATAAAGTACAATGAATTTTGGTGCATTCACTGACTGACATATAAACATTGACGTACAATCTGACATACAAAAGATTAAAGATGTCTTGATTTTTAAACTATTTATGGAAAATATATCTAGCGTTCCGAAAAAATGACCAAAACATTAATTGACAAAACCGAAATTGCAAATGTTGTGAGCTTTCTGCACACTTTGCTGTAGCATCCTCTCCAGATCGAATATGGGAAAGTCATGTGATTCTTTCTCGTTAATGAATTCCGTCTTCTTTGGTTTCTTTTTTTATCCGCAGTTTGTTTGGGGGAACATCCGTTTCACCTATATTCGTTCCGCGTTTTTCACCTCCTTTCTACCTTCTACTCTTAGTTCTCTCTCTTTTTCTCGTCCGCTTTACGAGTTACACTCTTTGTGTGGTTGTGTGTGTGTGCGTCCACGGGGCCGCTGAATGTAGGTCCGTTGAACTGAAACTCGAACGTGTACGTACAGAACGAAAGCGGGGCCACATCCGCGTTTCGAACGGTGTCGAACCTCCTCGTGCGTTTTGTATGAATGAGTTTCGGACGAGCATTTGGGACAATCTGTTTACATCCGTCACACCGAAAACATCGACGAACGCGCAGAGACCGATCGACCGACCGACAGTCGAAGAAGAAGTGTTAACAACGATTCGTGTGCGCCCCTTACCGAAGAAGTGTGCTTCCAGGTGTTACTGTGCGGTGTGTTCAGTGTGAGCGCTCTTTTGTTCTCGTGCCCATGAAGTAGAGGCTCTCAATCCAAAAATCAAAAACAAATTAACAAAAAACAAAGCAACAACAGAAGGAGTTGCAGAAGAACCCTCGAAAGTGGATTCGCTTCTTATGCACTTGGATTACCTAGGAATGTGCAAAAAGGTGAAGACGCTTTTAACCTTTCGCGGATTTTCGGATTATTCCTTTTTTTCTCACGCCTTTTGCCTCTCTTCGTCAATTTTAAGAACGCGCGGAGCGCATTCTAAATTAATAGAAAGTATCAGAGAACATTTTTAGAGAGAGAGAAAGAGACCTTGGTGACGTCGAACCTCCCCCCCTTCGGATTCCTTCGCATCATCGAAAATCTAGCCGGATTCGCCAAAAAATCCAATTAATTAGAACTTCTTGCAAAGCTTCAAAAAAATATATATATGTAACAAATAGCAGCACCTTCTTCCTGGTACACCTCAATGCCGAATAAATTCAATGTATTCTCTCTCTCCCAGTAAAATTAATAAAAAAAAACCAATTCGATGCGATCTGCTGTTACGACATAATTAAAACCTCGAATTTGTATTTCGTGCAGGTGTTTCTTTCGCAAAGATAGCAGCGGGCTTAACAATTGACATTTTTTTAAATTTATCTTTTGTTTTGAAATGTCGATGCTTTACGGAATGGGCGAATCTTTAATTCATTATAGAAACGATGTGTGTATCCTTGTTTTTTTTCTACTTCTTCTTCTTCATCATCATATTTAAATGTCAAAAACGCCGGACTGCAGAAATGTATGGTTTATTGTGCATTTTTTATTTTTCTTCCACTTTTTCAATTACTATTTCGTCGCATAATTTTCATAAATATTGATCGTTCGAGACGGTTTCGCAAGTTCAGTTACACTTGTTCGGTTTAAACGGTGCGCGGTGCACGTACGTTCTATAAATCACAGAATATTGACATTTGCATCCTGTTGAATACGGGTGACGCACGGAACATTCTAAAGTACGATTTCAACTGTTTTCGGGTGCAAATGTTTGTTTTCGCGTGTTATGACTGTGCTACAATCGGTTTTAGGTATCAGACTTCACTGTCACGCATTCACACATGTCAATTGTCTTACTTCTCTATGTTAACGCCATTCTCGGACAAATTTTCAAAGTCAAAGACAAAGTCAAAATTTTGACGTAATTATAAACGTATTTTGAATATTTGAATTGTAAATAAAATAAACACAAATAATATTACGACGTTCATTTAGTAACAATTAATTTGTATGTTAATTTTTTGAATCGTAAACTTAATTCTCGAATTTATTTCAACCATAAAGAATATAACGTCGTTGTTTCCAATGACAACATATTTTGTCTAATCTTGAGGCTTCTCTTTCACCACTTATTGAACTGTTGAAATGTCAATGTTAACGCGTTTGTTTTAAGGCATTTTTTTGCTTTCTTTAAATTTCACAAATATTCAAGTTAATATAACAACAATTTTGATGAAATTGTTCAATAAAATGTCAAAACCTAGGTGTGTTTATTTTTTTTTTAAATTTGTTTGTTGATAATTACAATGTTGCTATATCAACAGCGTCAAATAGATGAGATAAGACCAGTATATTATTCGGTCATGGCTGTGATTTTTTTTTCTTTTTGAAAACGGAACTGGGAAAAAAATTAGGACCACCAGGATGTGTTTTCAATGGAGAAATAGAGATAGACGCGAAACGTGCCGGCCGCATGCTTTATGAAATTATCAAACATCGAAGATACTATTATGTAAAAGGTTAAAGCGTTAATTACTGTTTTTTTTTCTCTCTCTGTGAGTGTGTTTCGATATTTTTTTCCTTCTTCTTCTTTTTCCTTTCGCTCCATTCTTTGGCGCGTCCATCGAAATCCGATTTGGAAATCGAAACGTTGCGCTCGATAATCCAACAGTCCCGGAACTGCTCAGATCCTTTTCGAAAGAGACCCCATTCTGGTTTCGATTTTGGAATAGGCAACGATTTTTTTTGTTTTGTTTTTGTAAATGCGATTTTGTGTGTGTGTGAAACAGAAACAATAATGTTCGTTAATTATTTTTTGAATGGTTTTTAATCGAATTGAAAGGAATGAGAGAAGATGGTGTAAGTGTGTGTGCTAGAGAGACAGAGAGATATAGTGATTGATGAGGTGAAAGAGAGAAAGATAGATAGTCTCGAGAAAATGGGTAGCGTTGCGACCAGGATGTGATCGTAGAGTGTGTTTATGCACGTTTCAGATCCGGTTACGGGCCATTCAGATTATGGCAACGCTTGTTATGTGACCCCAAGGTGATGGTGTGAGCGGCGGGGTGGGGAGGGGACTTTCGCAAGGATTCCAAAACATTTACACACAATATGTTCACGAAAAAAAAAAATAAGAGAAATAGAAAAAATAATGCATAATAAATATATACAATTAAGCGCGTTTTTGCGTAACGGAAAAATTATCTGTGAGAATTTCGCGTTACGATAGGTTAGTTTTAGCGTGTTTGTCATTTATTTTCCTTTGATCCTGCTGCTGCTGTTCCCAGGTCACGTTTCCAATTGGTTTTTGCGTAAGCGTAGCTAGGGGATTCCCCCCACGAGGCGCGCGGCTTCTTGGAAGCAATTAAGGGGATTTTTTTCGTCTGCTCTCCACGATTCTTTGACGTTTTAATTAATTTTTTTTTGTTTTCTATTTTGCAGAAATATGTAGATGATATATGCAAGGAGGGCTGCGGCGTCGGAGGCGAGGATTCGAGCTACGACTCGGACTACGAGGCCGATACACCCGGAGCGGCACCGGCCAAACACCACCAGGACGTTTCAAGGACAACGAGCGACACCCTCGCCGCCGAATATGCGGACTACGTGCAAACCGATTCCAATCCCGGCTACACGGCCAGGTAAATAAACACTTGCGATTCTCCTTGCTTGACGGATGGATGCAGTCGGAGGAGAGCTTTGAATTTGCTATAAAAAAAAATGTCTTTGTTTTGCAGAGTGGAGTTTGCGCTCAAGCTCGGGTACACCGAGAAACTGGTGCAGGCCGCCCTCCAGAAGCTGGGTCCGACACCGACGCAGAACGAGCTCCTCCGCGAGCTGATCAAGTTGGGCGCGCAGAGGGGCACCTCCAGCTGCGACAACAGCCCCACGGACACGCTATCACCTCTTCGGCGGAGGTGGAATCATCTCGTCACAATCAGAACCTTCTCCGTCCCTGCGGTCCGTCGTCATCGATGGGAGCAACGTGGCCATGAGGTAATTTGTTTTTTTTTGTTTGTTGCAGTGATTTTTAACTCGATTTGTTTACTCTAATGCTAATTTAAATTTTGATTGTTATGTAAACTGATTGTTTGTTTTTTTTCTAGTCATGGTAACAAAGAGATATTCTCGTGCAGAGGAATCAGGATCTGCGTGGATTGGTTCAAGGCGCGCGGCCATAAAGACATAACAGTATTCGTGCCGACATGGCGCAAAGAGTCTCCTAGACCGGACAACCCGATTCAAGACAGGGAGATCCTCGCCGAGCTGGAGAAGGAGCGCCAGCTGGTGTTCACGCCCTCGAGGTTTGTCGGAGGCCGAAGGATGGTCTGCTATGATGACAGATACGTCTTGAAGTTGGCCTCGGAGGTAGACGGCATCGTTGTCAGCAACGACAACTACAGGGACCTCTGCCAGGAGTCCACCGAGTTCCGGAGGGTCATCGAGGAGCGCATCCTAATGTACTCCTTCGTGAACGACCGTTTCATGCCGCCGGATGATCCCCTCGGTCGATCCGGTCCGACGTTGGACAACTTCCTGCGGACGCAGCCGAAGAAAAGTGAACCACCACCTTTGTGTCCGTACGGAAAGAAGTGCACGTACGGGAACAAGTGCAAGTACAACCATCCGGAACGCGGACCCCTCCCGCACAAGTCTGTGACGGAACGGTTATCGGAACACGCGCAGCGTCATCTTCAAGCCAGAGAGGGTGAGACTAGAAAACTTCCTCTGGGTCGCACCAGGTCGCACATCCCGCAGCACAAAGAACCCCAGCACACGATCGTGTCCAAGAGCAGGAGCGTGGACAACGTCGGCGAGAATCTCCACAGGAAGCTCCAGCGGCAGTTAACACTGAATCCATCCGCGGATCCAAGACTGGCGAACGTCAGGAAGCAGTTCAAACCTGCGATGCCCAACTGGGAGATGCACCAGAACGTTACCAGGATAGTATCGGCGCCAGACAGCAATCGGCCGTGGCCGCCGCAGGTACCGATGCGGCACATGCAGAGGGTCTCCAGCTGCTCGGATCCCCAACTGAACAACTGGCACCAGTGGCAGAGCAATCCGCAGGAGGATGCGCGCAGGAAACTGCACTACCACCTTGCCGCCATCTTCCCCGAAGAACAGGTATCGCAGGTGATGCAACTGTACCCGGAGGAGACGAATCCGCAGAAGATCTGCGCCGCAATCCTGGCGATGTTCCCCAAGCAGTGATACACGGCGGGAGGAAGTCGAACGACGAAAGTGCGAAGCTGCTCTCCCTTACTTGCGGACACAAGTAACACGAGAGACGCGATCAAACGATGTGCACGCAGGCAGCAGCCTCATATTGAAGCTGGACGCGAGAGAACAAAGGCAACTCAAAACAAACACAAAACAAAAATGAAATCGTTTTAATCTTACTTCACCCCCTGATTATCACTATTACTTTCGTTGATAACGGTTGATACTGTGTATCTTTAGTAAAATTTTTGCAATTTATTCTATTGTATCATACCTGAGATGAAAACCTATGACGAAGAGGAAAAGAGAGAAAAGATATATGTGAGACGATGAAGATGAACACAGAGAGGAGACAATGATTCCGGGGCCAACGTATTTTCATTAAAATTCAGGACGAATGAACGATGTTTGTTACATGTACATATTATATGTGTACCATCATCACTTACAATACGCAGATGACGCCCATCGGGGGGGAAAAACTAAATGTTTTTATTTTATTTGAAACATTTTAAACTTGATTTTCGTATCCCTCGATCGACCCTGAATTTATTACCTAATTGTTGAATCCGTACTATCGCAATTTTACTTTTCGGAATACAATATTATTATTATTATTATTACTATATTATATTACTTAATTATTATTCGAAGACTGTATTAAAAAAAAAAAATATGAAAATATATTTTGTTTGTTGAAAAACGAATTATGTAAAGCACCGTCGCGTGTCCAAGCATTTGTTGCATATTGCATAAAGACGAGTCGTCATGGATGCAACATTTGCAATTGTTTCACTTTAACTGTTAAAATTAATTAATTAAACAAAACAAAACAAAAAGAAATATTGATTCACTTTTCAGTAAAGAATTGAAATAATCGTTAGTTGTAATTTAAAGAAAACAAAAATATGTAAATGTTGCAGATGTTGACTCGACTTCAGATCAGTTATGTTGTTTATATTATATATATATATATATTTAAAATTTGTTTCAAAAGGACTCTATACAATTATTTTTTTTTACATGTAGAATATTTTTTTTTGTTTTCGCTTGTTATTAACAAATACTATTTTTTTTTTAAATTATCACAATTATTTATTTATCGCCCGTATTGTTGAAAGCGTAATAAATCAATTTAAAAAAAGAAAAAAAGTTAAACTCTGCGTGTGATTCGTTTTTATTCAATTTTTCCATGTTGGTAGTTACGATTCCTTTTTGTTATGTAAATCGATGGTGAGCGCTCCGTCTCGAGGTTGGCAGAGCGCGCTGTCAAAACGCTGTCAGTCGGTTGGGCGTCTGTGGGTTGGTATCGTTGGACACTTAGATACATATTTTTTTTCTCTCGCTGCTGCTGGTTACTTGGTAAAGTGCGTGATTTTTGGGTGTATCGTTGCGCCATTTTCTCCGGGGGGCCCCCCAACACATACACACAACAGAGACTCTCCGTGCAAAGAAACGGATACGACGAGGGAGCGCTGCGACGAGAAACAGGATCCGTTCGGACGGAATGCGAGGAGCGCTTCGAGGGAGACGACGACGGATGTTGTAAGGTCAGTTCCACCCGTCCTCCTGACATTTACGCTTCGACCGAAATGCAAACGGTTTGTTGGCCTTTCCTAAAGAAAAGTGTCAAATTAGTATGCGAATCCTGCTGCATCTCCACGGCAACGCCTCCATACGGTACGATTACGTAAGGCGCCCCCCCCAGGTGTTTGCGCTTCACCTGCGAAGATATGCTAAGGGTTGCAAGATAAAAACTCTTCCTCCCCCCCTCCCCGTGTCCGCGAATCATCGATTTGTTTTCGTCTGGTCAGTCGTGTTTTTCTTCGGAGATTCTATACCATCCCCCCACCCTACTTAACGTCTTTTTTTCCCTTCACTTGTTATTGTTTAGCAGCCTGTTCCCATGGATTCCAAAATTAATTAATGTGCATTTATTTTTCACACTCGTCGAGCAACGTATATTATTTGCACAACGAGATTATCTTTTATCACAGTTCCATTATTATTATGAGGCACCCATGATTTCCACTTATCAGTATATGGAATTGGAAAATATATTCATCACATTCCCAATATTACATGTTTTCTGAATTACACACACACATCAACTGATGAAGTAATTTCCTAATTGAACTCAATGACTAAGTTTCGCACAAAGTTTTACAATTTATCATATAATTTAATAATGTTTATTTCATTTAAATTTAAGTAATCATCCAATTAAAGATGCTTTTTTGTTATTGGAAAATAATCTAAATAATTTATGTTTCGTTGCACAATTCATTTGATTTGTCATATCCATAGTAACACATTTGTTATTGTTTTTCTTTTTTTTGTTGCATTATTTATTACCATAACAACCAAACCCATCTCGAGAATCTTAAGTAGGCAAAGTGGACTAAGACTGCAGGCATTCCAATTTGCATGTTTAATTATTTTTTTTTGTATTTGTGTTCATAATTAAGATATTTTTCAATTATTTTCTTCTTACCAACAACATTTAATTCAACGTGAATTGTGTAAAAACTCTGATTCATTAGTATTTGCTTTTTTTTTTAGTTGTTGTTGCAATTGTTCTCAGAGCAATTAGGTTTCGGTACTTATCCACTTGCCATTCAATTGTCTTGCGGGGTCGACTCATTCAATTTTCAGTTGTTTATTGTCGCGATGCTCGGTTGTCAGCAAGTTTGAAACATTTTTTTTCTTTAATAATTATGAACGATGGTGCGGAACAGCGTCGATAAAAAAAACGATTCCGCTCTTTCTTCCCATTCCTTATTCCAATTGTACGGACTTTTCCTATGAAACGCGATACACTTTCCAATTAATTATCATCGTCGTCGCACGTATTCGAGACTCAGCTTCATTCAGTTGCGGCGATTTGTGCGAGAGGCGCGATTTGAAATTGACGGTTCAGCAGCATATGGTGTATGAGTATGCGACTTTTGTTTCTACTTCTTTTGTTCATCTCGCGTACGAGCGGAGAGTGTTTTGTTTTCCGAGCCGTGCAAATCTTGGAACGTTTCAATTACGCTCTTAATATATTTATGTTAATATGATTTGCATTCCTTGTAAATTGCGTTCGATTCTTAACATGTAATAGTTGTAATGCACTTTCGATTGCTAATGCTGTTAACGCTGTAAATTGAGAAGAGCTATTAACATCTCCGTAATATATTCAGTATTCTAGTTATCTTCTTGACCAGATGCAAAGTGTGCTTATGACATAATAATCTATGGGTCCGGATATCCGTTTTCGCCAAATCGATATGATCGATCGATCGGTTTAAAGTTTAGTTTCCCAATTGGGAATTATTCGGATCGTCGTCCGTTCGTGTATGGATTTTTTTTTGTTGTATTCATGGTCAAGCAGGACTTTCCGTGGCGTTTTATGTAAGAGCCTGTAGCGGTGACGAGCGGGTGAATTACAAATGCGAACGATTCGATTGGTCGAAAAACAAACGTAATGGACTGTATCGTCTGCATTTGTCTTGCGACGAAGGTAAGAAAGCACAAACATAATATTAGGTTGTATTGATCCTGCGTTTCCCCCTTGTTTCACATTGTCATGATTCATCTGTGCAGGGGCTCCCTGTTTTTTTATTCTGCCCGTTTTATTATCGTAGTTGGCTGGAGGGTGGTTCTTCCAAGGTCAAGGGATCAGAGTCGACCCTACTTAACTCTGCAACCTGTTTTGTTCATTTGTCATCAGTTGATTGTGTAATTGAACTATCAAGTTTGCGTCTTGAACAGATTTAGTGTGTCTTGTCTTGTTGTTTACGATGCGCGCTTGTTATGTATCAAAATTTTTAATCCGTTGTTTATTTACGTTTCGCTGATCAAAAATAACTTTTCTCTCTCGTGCTGGTGCCAGACGTCGCCATAAATTTCGTTCCCATTAAATCTTAATTAAAAATTATGGCGAATAATTCTTCGTTTATCGCTTGTGAAATATGTAATTTGGTTAATTGATAAAATGGGAAGTTCTCGTTTGGATTGGTGACAGTTTGATAAGTGCGAGATAGTGTTGTTTATTGCATTTCTTTTCTTTGTAATGATAAAGTCAATTAAATTATTATTCGGCTGTGGATGCGAAGTGTTTGTTTATTTTAAGGTAATATAATAGTTAGGAAGAAGTTCACAATATATGGTTACGTGAAAGTCGGTCTTTGTTTCTTTTCGTTAGTCGGCCAGAACAAAACTGAAACTGGGGGGGTTTCTAATGAGGATGTGACTAATTCTAAACGCGATAACGACGTGTGTGTGTATGTGTGTTCCAGTCTGAATGTCGCACTTTATCGCCGACCGATTGTTTTCCCTAAATAATACGACCGTCAAGTGAACGTGCGCCACCAGCCGTCGTCACCGCAAATCTAACATCCGTTTCTCTTGTTGCAGAAAGTTATGTGTCTTGTTGACGAGCTGAGCTGAGCTAAGCCGGAGCAGACATGCCGTTGCCGAAGAGGTCGGTGGAGCCGGTCTACGTGTCCAGGGGCACCATCCCCGAGGACTTCCCGCTCCCATCGGAACTGGAGGCGGCCACGAATGGTACGTTGGCGAACACCGTTAGACAACTGTCCTCGTTGTCGCGGCACGCTGAAGACTTGTTCGGAGAGTTGGCGCGCGACGCCCAGCAGCTCTACGACCGTTCCAACTCGCTGCAAGCGAGGATCGATCGGCTGGCCGTCAAAGTCACGATGCTGGACAGCACCGTTGAAGAGGTCAACCTCAAGGATATCCACAAGAGGAAGTCTTTCAAGAGCGCCGTCGTTTTTGATCAGCAAGTAAGTTTTAAACAATGACAAATCCGAGTGTAAATCAATGATTAATTATCAATAATTTTAGATCTTCTCGAGGAGCACGATGCCGACGGCTATGCTGGAAACGTATCAATCGTGCGATCGCCCGCCGCCTCTCGATAAATTGAATTGCTATCGCGATGACGGAAAGGACGGTCTCAAGTTCTACACTGATCCCAATTACTTCTTCGAGCTGTGGCGGCAGGAGATGATTAAAGACACGGAGAGGGCTATGCAAGGTAAGAAACCGCACAAGCCGAGGAACGCCCAAGGACCGGATAGCAGTGGCAGATTGAAGAAACGCGTTCGTCAGCCGCACAAGACGATCGAGAGGCAACGGCAAATAGCCATGGGTCACGGGGAGTATCTGATGCCGCAGCAGCAGACGCCGCCCAGAGAGACGGTGGCCTACAGGAATCCTCAGCAAATGGAGGAGCACGTGATGATGGAGCAGCGGGCGAACCGACCCAACTCGATCGAGATCAGGAGATCGTACCAGCAGGAGGTTCCCGATGGCATGCATTCCCCGATCTACCCGCCCTACGAGGAGAATCCCTACCAGCAGGGCATGTACGGTGCTGGTCCGATGAGCAACGACAGCTTGTATCAACCGTCGACGCCCACCCGCAAGATACGACCGTCGCAACCGCCTCCGGCTCCGCCCAGCAACCAGTCGACGCCGTCGGCGAACACACCGACGAGAGGGCGTAGCATGTCCACGGGTAGGGACAATCTGCCACCACCGCCGCCGCCCCCCGACACCATGTCTCCGCCAAATGGCATTCCACCGCACCTCACCCGCCAATCATCGCATTCGCGCTCGAACAGTCCGCATTCCAATCAGCACACACCGGAACCGATCCAAGATTTGCCACCGCCACCTCCAGTGCCCAAGCAGGCATCGCCACCCAAACAGTCCACGCCCATCGCTCCGCCTCCACCGCCGCCGCCACCTATGCCCCTCCTGAGCAACGGACCGACGTCACCGCCTCCACTGCCGATGCTCAACGGCGATCTGGCCAAGATCCTGAACTCGACGCCACCGAAGCTGACGCCGCCCAAAGAGCGCGCCAGCCAGAAACCCCCTCCGATGGTCGATCCTCGGAACGATCTGCTCAAAGCCATCCGAGACGGCATCAAATTGCGAAAGGTGGAGAAGAACGAGCAGAAGGAGGTGGAGCGAGGAAACGGTCTTCACGACGTCGCCAGTATATTGGCGAGAAGGGTTGCGGTCGAGTTCAGTGATTCGGATTCGGGAACGGATTCAGAGTGTGACAGTGAGGGATGGGAGGAGAACGAGACATCTGCGTGACACAGACGCAAGGCCAGCACGGCTAGTCACTCATATGTATAAGAACGCACAACGAATGATACCGATTATTATGAACAAGATGAAAGCGGCTTTCGATAGAATCCACAACCCCTTCAAATCCCCTTTTTATATTTTTTACCACTCCCATAGTCCTTTTATAGAGCGCTGCGCGACTTGCAGAGATCGAATCACAGGAGTGTGCGTGTATCGGGCAAAGAAGAGGCTGCACCTAGAGATTAAGACTCGATGCACGATAGACAACGACGATAAGAAGGTAAACCTCGAGCGAAATCAAGGTATGCATAATGTGTATAATCTCATCTATTCTAATCCGGATCTATTATCGTTTTGAATCGCTCAAAATTTGACCGATTCCGGAGAACTAGAACCACCGTGGTCACCAACGCGATTGTAAGTCGGAGGCTTCGTTACTACACGAGCGTAAACCAAAAAAAAATGAAAGAAACTATTCGAGAAAAGAAAATATATAATATAAATATTTGTGTAATATGTAAATGCTTCTTTTTTATATATATATAATTAAGTCTACGGTAGGTTTACGTAATTAGCCAATGTGTAAATTTATTATTCTTTTCTTTTGTAAAGTTACTTTGGCTTCGATATATATACGAAAAATATTTTTATTTGAATTTGGGAAAATTTCCATTCCATGTAGGAATAATTAACGATGATGATGATAATGATTTTCGTTTTTTTTGTTTGTTTAATTTATTTAACGTCGATGATATTAAATCAGTATTACTGAAATATTTAGATATTCGCTTCCAATATGTAAATATATATATGTAATATATAAATGATTGCTATGGAAAAAAAAATATGAGAAACAAATGAGTGTGGCAAAGCAAACCTGTCTTTTATACAATGATACTACTATACTATATATATATATATAAATATGTAATAATGTCCTCGCGACGAGATTTTTTTTTCTTTTTATCTATTTTTTTTTGTTTGTACATTATGAAGTACCTAATATATTTAACAATTAGTCTGTAAGGCTATCTACGATTATAACACTAATTATGTACTATTTCAGGTGAAAAAAATTTGTAATATACTTGTACTGTAATGGGAAATAAAACTCAAATTACGATTACACAGCGTTCCTGTTTATTTATAACTAGAATCGATTATATTTTTAGAATATTTATAATAAGTATTATTATTGTAAGTGAATTTCTAGTGTTACACATTTAAGGTTATTTTCATTCACTTGCTGCAACCCATCGCATCGTCGACAAGCTCGTTGATCTTTCCCCAATTGATGAGGTCGAGCATCGCCTTGACGTAGTCGGCCCTCACGTTTTTGTACTGCAAATAGTAGGCGTGCTCCCATACGTCGATACCGAACAAGGGGGCCATGCCGGTTGTCCCCAGCAACGGGTCCTGATTGGGCAGACTGGCAACCCTAAATTTACCTGTCTTTGGGCAGAATCCAAGCCAGGCCCATCCAGAGCCCTGGATGCCGATAGCAGCTGCAGACAATTCCTGCTTCATCATGTCTAAGTTACCAAAAGACTGCTTAATGATAGATTCGACGCGCGCGTTGGGTTGAGATGAGTTCGGGCTGAGGGTCTCCCAGAAAATGCTGTGGTTGATGTGGCCACCACCGTTAAAACGAATAGCTGGCATCAGGGAAATAACAGTGCTACAAAAAAAAAAACAGACATTGCAATGAAATTGGAAAGCAAACAATAACCCGAGTCATTTACCTGACATCCTTCTTTTCCAAAGCACATTCCAATTTCTCTTCAGCGATGTTCAAGTTGTTGACATACGTCTGATGATGTTTCTGGTGGTGGAGTATCATGATGTCCCTGCAGATGACTGGCTCCAGTGCATCGTAGCTATAGGGTAAATCGGGTAAGCAATGCTTAGCTCTTACATTGCTATTAAAAAAAACAAATAATTATTAAAAAAAACATTGCATGACAATTAGAATATTTTCTTTACCTGAGCACTTTGGTAACTGCACGACGAGCGGCGAACATTGCGAGGTTCTATCAAGATATTTCAAGATCAAATTCCAATTGGAGATAATTCAAAGACTTAAAAAAAAGTTATGAAACTGACAGCTGACAATTGTGTAACATTTCGCGGTAGCAACGTGCTGCGAGTAAAAGTAACTAGACATTAGCACAAACAAAAATTGAAATACACATGATTATAATTTCGCGAATACTTGTACAACTAATGTTAAACGAAACGCAGTTTGCGTGCGTAACAATATATACATAATTACAATCCTAGGGAAAGTTTCATTTTTAAATTGAAAAGTTTTCAATTGTTGGTAACAACGCGTTACGCATAGTAAATATGGCGTTCAATGTTGAGCGGCTGTGAGCGGTTTTCAAATCGACTTCAAAAAGAGTAAGTGAAAAGTTATTTAATTAACATTAAATTGAACTTAATTAACTAAAGCGATATTTTTTCTTATGTTTAAATCAAACTTTCGCTAACAAATTCATCAATTCATCAAATTTTAAACAAATAGAATTTTTTTTATCGGAAACATTTACCGTCAATTTTGTTTCAGAGATTTTCTCAGAGGTGGCGCTCCGGATGGTTATGTATGGTCGCATAAGTAGTAAGTGCAACGTAGAATTAAATTTTTCATAAGATTCGCAAACTGTAACATGAAAACCGAAAAGTATTAGTTTTTTTTTCGTTTTCTTTTTAAGAAAACTAATACTAATTGGTCTATATCGCAAGCCCGACAACCGAATCCCGGCTGTATTAAAATCCCGACGCTTGAAATCCCGACTGCCATAATCCCGACAATCAAAATCCCGACTAGCATAAAAATGTTATTGTATAAATTTATAATAATAAAAGACACTGTCGGGATTTTGACATAGTCGGAATTTCGATAGACGGGATTTCGGTTGTCGGGCTTGCGATTGCCACCGATACTAATACATATACAAATATTAAGTAAAGATTGTACGAATTTTCAATTATTTTTCTTAATATGATCGAATAAGAAAAGAAGCGAACACTTGATTATATAGTTAAAACGAAATTAACAAGCAGCAATAAAATAGTATTGTTTCTTACATAATTAGTTGAATTCCAAATGTTATATTACTTAAGGAAATGATTAATATTTAGATTTAGTTTTTATACTTCCTTGGGAAGTGAGCGAGGTATGGAATTTGTTGCTGTTTGCAATTAGTCACCTTGTTTGTTGGAACATATTTTTGCGTAATCAATGAAATATACAGTAATGTTGAAAAATGAACTATTAAGACTTTTAGTGAAAATCTATAGTAATTATTCAGAGATCTTTGAGAAAAGTTGTTGAGTCTTTGAAGCGCAGTGTTTTGAAATTTGTTGAGATGAAAGTGGTTACACATTTGTTAATTCATGATAATGGACGCGACAATTCTACGCGTCTTAGAACAATGAACAAATCTTACAATTTGCATAAGGAAAATGCAGATGAAGGATGCAGAAACAATAAAAAAAACACGTTCCATATAGAAGTGAGTTTATTTATCGATGTGGGTGTGTCGTCGTCGCGCGAGCAACTTGTTTCTTAATTAACAACAAACACTCGACGAACGGCGGATTTCCATTGTCTCAACACGGTTTTGATTTACTTTACCAATTCATGTTTAACGCCCCTCCAGCTCCATGCATTCATTTATTAATTAAACTCTTACGTAATCCAAATGCTATTCTGTAGACACGAAACTAGATTTTTTTTTATTCCGAAGACACGTAGTTAAGGTAATTTAACGAAGAAAGACAAAGCAAAAAAAATCTGTCATGAAACGATGATTCATTGTTGATGAAACTTTGGACGAGAAAATAAAAATAATTGAATATGATAATTGCGATGATTGTAATTCGCGGTTTCCGGCATCACAAGAGACTCGCGATTGCGTGGAACGTTTTTCTTAATGTGGGGAAAATTTGGTAAAGCTGAAAACCAGATTAAATATTCATTTCACACATTCCAGAAA